CTCTGCAGGATAAACAAGTTTGGGTTTTCTCCTGGACACAATCCTGACATCTGCCATCTCCTGTGACTATGTCTGCCCCATCACATTGCTTTTTCCAGAGCGCTCCACACAGTTCATCACTTCATGGAAGGGTTTCTGAGCATGCTGGAAAGCAGAGCTCAGCTTTGCCCTAATCCAAGGCTTTGTACAAGGTTCTGTCAGTTTGTTTTGCCATGTCAGCCACTTTTCTGTTCTCTTAAGAAGTGTTAAAGAGAGCAGAATCAGTTTTCAGTTTGTCATGGTGTGGAGTATATCTATTCTTTTGGGGCAATTTGTGCACCACTTTGCCACTAATCCACACTATAAACTTAGAAAGCAAACACAAAAGACTGCACACCAATGCTATTTCAGTTCCCAGCTGTGTGTCCAGTCTGTTTCTAAATAGAAATACCTTCATTAGCCATGCAATCCTCTGTTTAATTGCTTACATGATTTTAATTTTTTTAAGAAAGGAGCCTCAAACCAGGATGGGAAGGGTATAACTAGGCAGCAAAGAAATGTGATTCCAGGCAGAACATTATATTTGGTTCCTATTTCTGCAGCCCAAAATAACAACTCTCCAAAGAGCACCAAATTCCAGAGCCAGAAATGAGCTCCATAGCTCAATACACGATGTGATCTCTAGGAAGAGAGGAAAGAACTCTAAAAGACAGAAATGCCTGAGATAAGAACGTAAAGATCTGAGGCTGGGTACATGCCCATAACCCCTCATGTGTAAACAAACAGTTAAATTTATGTCAGGGAGCAGCATGTTTAGTTTTCTGAGGAAGACATGTTTCCCAGAAGGAATTATATAAATATTTATGAAAATGAAGCAGGAAATATTTTCCCAGGGTAGGACACTGTTCAGCACTGCATCAGGTCAGTCGAAGCTGGGGTTTATTTTGTCAGTCTTCCCCGGGAACTGAATCATTGCCCTCTTGTTTGCAAAAATCTGTTCTGACACAGGAAGAGGCTGCACTTAGATAAACACAATTACAAGCCACATTGAGTATTTCATTTCTATCACATCTCTAACTACATTTGTGAATGCCTTACATTTTTTGGATAGCTTCTCTGAGTGATTGCATGGAAAACAATAGCAATAAGTATCTCTTAGGCGTCTCTGAAATCCTGGTGCAATTATGTCAAAGGTGTCTTCAGTAGAACTGAAAGCTTGCATGCTAACAGACAGAGAAGCATTCTCAGTCCAAGTGTTCACAATAAAAGTGCTTATAAAACACTCACTGTGATCCAGGACATTCTTGCTAAATGCAAAATTAGAAACAGAAAGTTGTAATGCAGTTGTGATGCTCACTTGAGTGAGCAAAAGTTACACACAATTGAGGTCTGTTTGCCAAATGGGGTCCCGGGGTCAGTACTGCTCCTCATAAAGCTTCCAGCAGCTCCCTAAATCTGGGGTCTGCAACCTGAGCTCCTTAGGAGAGTTCAGTGCTCTTCTGTTCTGCTGCCTCACAGCAGATACTGGAACCTGAACCCAGATGGAACCTGGGTTAGCTTTTCTGTTTAGAGCTAAAAGCTGAGGGGAATAGGAGTGGGAAAGGGGAGGTAGGAGCATCCCAAGAAGGGTTTGTAAGCTCTAGTGCATACCTGAGGTTCTCTAAGAGAGCCATCCCTGTGTCAGACCAGAAAAAGCTCTCACCCATCCCTCAAGGTACTCAACTCAACAGAGAGGCAAACTCATCAGCAGGAAACCAGAGAGATCATAGTTCACAGTGGAGCATGAATTTCCACACAGCTGATGAAGCGTCTCAAACATCCAACCAGATGTTGGATGATGATCTATAATCATCAGAGTCCTACAAGCTGCCTTACTAAATATATAAGCCAAAAGATTTTTGGGCAATTTTGTCCTTAGTTTGGTTGGTTTTGTCAGTTGTATTTTCAGGCATATCAGAATCTGGTCATTGTTTATATCTTAATCAAAACAAAAACAAGTTGTGGAGACTGTGTTTACAGGCTCAAGCAGCCATTGCACGGTGTCAAATCCAAAACCAGCACTTTACAAAATAGCCCTAGGATTACTTTCTTCCCTACATATTGCAAACCACAATACTCAGCCCTTCCTTTTCCATTTTCTCTAAGCTTTGCCACCTTGATTGATGTATCCAGCATGACAGAAAGAAACACCCCAAGTCATCATGACCCCTGACACAAGAAGAGAAAACATCTAGGATCCCAAAGCAAAGAAATATTCCACCTTTTTTTTTCCTTCAGGTGCTCCCAAGTTTATTCAGTACAGTAAGGTACAGAAGGGGAATGTTCTCCTTGATGCTGAATTTGGGTCAGAAAGGATGCCAGAGGCTGAACACTGTGGCTGAATCAGCCCATGGTTACAAGCAGGATGTATTAACCTGCCACAGTCCAGCCACAGGATCTGTGACTATACAAATGATGAAAACTGGCTCTAGGTCTGGCCACCTTTTCATGAACAGTATTTTAGCATGTTGTCTGTGCTCCTTACAGTCTGTTTACATTAAACTACTAACATCTGAAGAGTGGGCAAATAAAGGTTACCAAATCTCCAAGGAAGTTACTTAGACTCCAAATAGACAATGCACAAGACAAAGGTTGCCTGACTAGTGCTCATTTCAAAGAACAGAATCTTTCTCGATATTTTTTGTGCCTTTTCAGGGTTTCCTTGCAAACATTCATGCATTTGTTTTGGGACTTTTATGTGTGGGTGATGTGGCCTAGTTAGTTTTTCTTCCTAGCCTACGGTCATTTCTTTAAGCCTGATTCAATGAGAATTAACATGAGCATTAGGCACTCTGCTTCATTAAATCTCCATCAGCAATGAGGCTGCTTGAAGATTTTTCAGTGAAACTGGTTTGATAAATATTGATTTGCCAAAACCCAAGCTTTTTGTGGTAGTACATCAGTTTTGATGGACTGCCTGTTAAGGCAGGTTTTCTAGCTCCAAGACAGCATTCCTGGTCCAACACACGGGAAGATATAACTGATTAGCACACACCCTTGTAATAAAGCAATATAACCTTAAGGCTCTACTGCAAGCACTGGTTTGAACTAGGCAGAGAAATAATTAAAATCTGGATCTCCTACATATTGAGTAAGTGTTTTCATTTTCCAAGTTTTCAGATCCATTAAATCTAATTTCTCACAGTATTTTCAGGGGGCTTATGACTGTCAGGGAAGGTGGAGTGGGGGTGGGAGGTGGGGGTTGGGGAAGAGTAGAGTCTTGATTTATTTTCTAAACTGGACTAAAAACATTTGTAAATGATCACACCACTGTCAGAAAAATTTTCCCTGCTTAGTCCCAGATAGTAACTGAAGTAGTTAAACAAATTATTTCCTCTCTCACTTAGACTTTACCCCTCTTTATCCCTGATAAATAACAAACAAGCCACTGTAAGTCTCTCAGTACCGTGGAACAGATAGCATCATTCATGTCAGTTTGGCAACATTTCCCAAAATGCCTCCTCCAGCCCTAAGTACACTAGCTTCCCACTCCTACGCTCTCTATTCTTGCTCTTACATTGACCTTCTGCTCACAAAATGGAAAGTGAAGAAAAAGTTAAATAAAACAGACTAACAGTGTACAAGGCAGAGGCACAGTGCCCAATGCAAATCACAGAGGGACAAGTTTATTTCTGGTATGCCTCTACTCAACCATAACCCTGGCTTTGTGTTTCCTCCCCCAACAGCTGTGTGTACCCGTTATCAAGGCCATGTTTGAGGGGGTACATTAGATGACATTCTCTAGGACAGAGGCCTCTGTTTATTTCTGAAGAGCACTGTACACAGTTTAACAAGGAAAAAAAATTGTTTTGGAAAGGGGGACAGTCTGTGAGCAGGCTAGAAAGAAAAAGGGAGAGGAGTATCTTGACCCTTCTTGGGACTTGGCCAACATTTTATCACAGTTGAAAGCCTGAAGTCAGAGCCTTCCTTCAGACTTTAACTTAAGGTATTCACTTTTACATAAGTACTGTTACTTATTCTGTATGCCCAAAGCTGAAACATAGGACTAGGGAATCAAATCATCTCTTAAATGATGAGGAAGCCTCTCAAAAGCTATTAACATAGGAACGATGGAAAGCAAACACCCTCTCACACACTACATAGCTCAAAAGCCTAGTTCAGCTTTTTCAGTAGCTGTCTCATTGTCTGAGAAACCAGAAGTTAACAAAATTCCTGGAAATACTATAAATAGTCATCTCCCCTTTCTTTTCTTCCAGGCTACCTTGAACATCCTCCTACCCTGGTTACTGTGCTCTCCTTAAGAGAAAGCTAGAGATTTTTCCAGAAGGGATTGCACACAGGTAGGTATCTGTCACAGCTCCTTCCAAAAGGAAGGATGCATGCAAATGTTCCTCCACCCAAGAGACCTCCTACACTGGTTTCAGGGTCCCAGCACCCAGCTGAACATCTGAAGGTTACCTCAGGATTCAAACCAGCTGGAGTTTCCCTGGACAAACAAGGATAACATTCTGTTGGGATCTATGCTACACCACTGTCCCCACACATGGCCTCTCCCGAGCATGGCAAGAGTGATATGGGAGAAGGTGATGCAGTCATTCAAGCTCATTTGTTCTGTGTCTTCTGTCCTGGAGTTTGTCCCTTCTGTGCTCTGTCTACCAACATGAGCTGGGCCATCTGTAAGCATAAACCCCTCATTTGTGTGTTTCAGGCTAAAACACCCATGGATAATATCAGCTTTTCATTTGTGGGTACCTGACACCCAAAAGGTGAGATGGAGCACTGGGGATTTCCACCCACAGTGGACTGGCTCATTTGTTGTCACTAACAGTCTCCTTGGTGGAAAGCTGTTATGGAAAAGTATTTCTACATGTTATATACAGTCTGCATTACTCTTCCAGCACACAGGCAGCCAAATGTATCTATGACTAATTAGTACACACTTGGATACAATACCAAAGTCTTTTGTCCCTTGAGTAAGTGAAATGCTGGGCATGAAGATTCAATGCTGAGAGGCAAAAAAGTTACAAGAGAGATATTCCCATATGTTGGAGAAATTTTCCATGGCAAAAGCAGCTAAATGTCTCATTCAGATAAGAGATAAATTGGAATAAACAGCTGTCAGTGTTAAATAAATATCCTGGATAATGTGCAGGACAGAAATAACTACAACATCGTCAAACTCCTTTCTTCACTTTATTTAGCTGCTCTTGCATGTAGCTCCCAAGCTTTCCACTGCTCCAGTTAGTGAAGCATTTATTTTTGAGTCAGCTGCATTTCTTAAGACTGCAACAACGAAAGGCATTTCCTGAGAAACTGCAAGGATGAGCAGCAAGAAAGAACAACAGCTAACGACATATGGGACCCTTGTAGTGTTTTTTATCTTGCAAGTTCAGATTTTTGGTTTTGATGTTGATAATCGACCTACAACAGATGTCTGCTCAACACACACAATTTTGCCTGGACCAAAAGGTGAGGAATTATCAGGTTGCTAATGCTGAGACCAGTACTGATAAAGGCTGATTTTTTATCAGTGGAGACTTGGAGGGCTTGTGGCATGGGCTGGGCATGAAAGATGTGAAATATTGCAGACTGTACAAATATCTGATAAAGTGTAACTGTAATGGGGGAAAATGGAGAAGCAGGGAGATTTAAATTTTCATTTCTTTACTTTCAGGAACAGTATCACATATTTTTATATAAGTTAGAGGTGTCTTTTTGCATCTTTCCTCAGCTACACAAATCTGTTATTTCTTGCGCTCACCACACAATGAAAACAGCTAACAGATACAAACTGAGGGACTTGTTTAAAAGTAGGCACCTCTTGTGAACTGTTAATGGTCTGCTTTGCATCTACAGATAGGGAGAGATACACAATATTTAAAATTACCAAACTGCCATTATTTTCAAATGTTTATTTGTAAATACATCTCTGCTGCATTCATCAGTCCTGATTCAGTAGCTCTCGTTGAATTAAACAGAACCTTTGCTAACCTTTGCTAGAGATTTTAACAATAACTAGATCAACTCTGGCATGTACAGGTCTTTTATCTTCAAAACACTTTGCAAATATCCGAAACCAAATTTTCTGCATTAACTTACTTTTTCTGTAAGACAACTAATATCAGTGGAGTTGCCTTGAGGGTATCTTATTAGGTCCATGACGTACAAATCTATCTTGCAGTGACAGATCTAAAATATATATTCCACACCATGGCTATTGCAGTTCCAAACTATTGCTTTCTCTTTAGTAATTCATTGTATTTTTCTATAGGCTACAGACTGAGATGAAAAAAAATGCAGCTCATTTAAATTTGAAGCAGAAAAAATATTATCAAGTCAAGAGCACTGCTACAGATTCATTTGTTTTTATGATGGATTATTCAAATGTATGTTGCTTAAAGGACCATTTTTAATCAGGAAATTAATTTCTTTATTATTAAAATCCAAGCTTAAATTTTTGCTGCCACAGCATATATGCAGAGAGATGCAATGATCCCCAAGGGAGCTAGTGGGTGCTGGTTTAGTATCTAAGTAATGGCAGGCTGGAGAACAAAGTTTGACAGAATTGTGTTTAACAAGTCACAAGGCTAATGAGGGGGGTCTTGTGACAACACAGGGTAGCTGGGACTCCAGCTGGCTTCTGTGGTCCACCTTGCATGGGGAGCATTAGAAGGGTAGATATTATTACTCTTTGTAAGTGCAATACTGAGAAAGTCAGGATTTAGTCATTACCAGTCCTATTTTTCTGGCTGACATCAAAACACAAGATGAGACCAGCAGTTTATTGGCACAGCTCAATCTACTTCTTTAGATCACCATTCCCAAGATCCATGACAAGAAGGAGTATTGAGTATAAATCACCTCCAAATTACTAGCTCATATGCACTGCAGGTCATCAAATGCATTTTGGAGACTATGTGATATGATCCTATAAGATTAATTTCAGGTCCTTCCAGAGCTGAGCTTATCCAGGACAGTTACAAGTAGCCCTTAATGGCGCTGGTTGTTCCAGCTTCCAGTCATCAGGGCAATTAAAGACAAAGCAGGCTGAGTGTGTGAACTACCCTGGTACTTCTCAGGCATCCCTTGTAGCCAAGTATGAAAAATGCTTACCTAATATGCCAGAAGAAAGTCTGTCCTGCTGTCAGTTTTCCTTCATCCATCTATGTCTATGACTCAGAGCACATGATCCCAAGCTCATAACCACAGCCATAGGCAGAACTTTGCTGTTTAAACTCTAAGTTTGATAACAGACAAGCCTCTGACTTTTGCTGCTATAGTTTTGGGTTTTTTTCCCTGTGCTACATCTCTTGTGTCCCTTTGTCCATTGTTCTCTTTAAAATGGGTTTTGACTCATCCTGAACAAGTTTTACCCCCTCCCGTCCACCTGCTCAGCATCTCAGCCATGATAAAACACGGTAGTGCTCCCAGAAGACAGAGGTGCTGATCTCACACACTACTTTGACCAGCTGTTTCACCATCACAGGTTAGATTCCTGTTGTGGCAACTTCCTCTTTCCATGAGAACATGGAAGTACCTAATTGGCCAAAGCAACCAGAAAGCAAGGGATTAAAAGGTATTCAATAGCTGTTAGACACTGCCCCACCTCGCCTCTTCCACTGCAAGGCATAAATTGTCCTACAGGCCAGATCCAATCTGTGTGCTCCAAGTGGGATGGACCCCGGTCCATCAGCAGAGATAGATGCTGCTGTTTCCATCACACAGCACAGTGGAGAGGAGAGCAATGAGGGAGAAGTCGGGGGGTTTGGATAGTTCAGAATCTATTACTCTTTATTGCCTGCACTATTGGAGGATGCATGACTCAACCCTCTAGGCATCCACTGTTGTTACAGGAGCAAACTCTCAACCTCTTCACATGCTCACACTGAAAATCACCTGTTCAAGAAGGGTTGTGAAGGTAGGCCATTTACACAATCGACATGTAACTTGTCCAAGTTACTTTGTGCACGCCATATTCTTCCTGTTCAAAAACATCTCTTTGTTATGCTCATACCTGAGATGTCACAAGAGAAGAATGACATGAGCAGTGGGATGAAGTAAGTGTAACTGCAGGCTGATTACCAGAAAAGTCTTCAAATCACTGTGACAGCCCCACCAACTCCCAGAAAGCATGAGGCAAAAGCAGAAGCTATTGTGTACAACAGTAAGAGCTAGAAAATATACTCTGAAAGACTGCAGACTCCCAGGAAGAGAAGGGATGCAGTGGATGTCCTGTCAGGTTTGCAGTTGTGCTGCAAGGACATCAGCGTGTCCGAGCTCCGGTGCACGGTGCAGCGAACCCTGCGGGGTCCAGCCCCACCTCTGGGGGCTCACACGGTGCCCACCAGGTGCTGCTGTCCCCCCCAGCTGCTGGTTCCCCTCGCTGGGACAAGCAAATGAAACCTGAAGCCTGTTTGCCAAGAATTATGCAAAGAAAATTGCCAAATGAGCACTCCAGAAAAGCGGAAAATTATAAAGAGAGAGGCAAAAGTTGGCACTCTTCTCCATTTCCTTTTCTAGGCAACACTCAGGCTTCTTCTCAAAAAGAGGGGATTATTTTCAATGAAAAGAGCCCACTGCAATGGCTGTCTTGTACTGCCTTCCTGAAAAAAGATTTGAGGTACACAGCCAGCTGGCTTATATGGCAGTAAAGAACAGAAATGTGTGAGGCATTTTCTGGGTTCTTATTGAAATGCCCTAGGAACATCCCTGCCCTTCTTTTCCACTGCCCCCCCACCAAAACCAAACCAAAACAAAAGTAAAAAAAAAAAAAAAAAAAAAAAAAAAAAAAAAGGTAGATATTTTCAGTGTTTGCAACCAGTGATTTTTGATGTTTGACCCAAGATGTTAGGAACAACTTGGTCCCAGCTGGGCTGTTGTGGCACAGAAACTCTGAAAACTTACACCTTACATCAGCTAACACAGATTCACAGCAGGGTAACTGGGGCAATAATGACCATGCTTTGTACTTCATTGACTTCTTGAGTCCAAAGAGAACCAGGAAATGAAGCATAAATGAAACAATGAATTTTCCAGGGCAGCCAGGTTATTGGTCTAGCAAAAGTAGTCATGGACCTATTCCTTACTTTCTACCCTTCCAAGCCTGCAAGCAAAGCAGGCTGGCTGCTGCTGCTGCTGCTGAGAAAGGGTCTGGGACTGTGGGGAGGCAGCAGCTGACACAGTGAGAGCAAAGGCACCAGCTGTTGTGCCCTGGCAGCATCAGGAGGATCAGGCTGTGCCCCCTGGACTCCGCCTTTGAGCCGTGTCCCAGCTCTGTCCTTTCTCCCAGCCTGCTCTCCCCTGGAGACTGCAAGCTCTGATCTGCAAAGGAAGTTTTAAGTGGGCTGTTGACGTGGATGAGACAGGAGTTGACCTGATGTGAGTAAATCAATAAGCAACAACATGAGGGTAGAAACAAGCAGAGGATGACCCCAAACTCTGACTTTTGAACTCCCATTAAGTATGTGAGCAGGGGCTGGCACTGCAGAAGCTGTTTTCACATGGATTCATGGGCTCTCAGCACTTCAGAAAACTCTAGACCTTGCTATCTGTCCCTGATCCAGTTCATTTTCTTTGAAATCCAGACACAAGAACTTTGAAAGTCTTGAATCAGATCCAGGTTGAGAAACTGGAATAAGATGAAATTTGAAGAGTACCGGGAGTTTCCCATAGCAGTTTAGATTTAAAATGTTTCTTTATCATTATTTCTGACAAATGATGCTTATAAACTCTGTGACATTGGCTGGTACCTCAAAATAGCATTTACTGTGGTCACCAGTATAGCTGTCCATCTCTCAGCTTTAATTGTGCTTACGCAGTTCCACTCCTGGAAAATCTCAAAGCCTTTCAGAAACCAGATATGCTGCTATCCACGTTGCCTTCCAAAAATACAGAAGGCCTTACCACATCCTATAGCTGTTCAAATCTATAACTAAATTCCCCTCTTAGTGCCTCATTTTTGATCTGAAGAGTCCTTTAATTTCAACACATAATTCTATTTTTCATGCTTCTAGAAGTCCTTGTTTTAGCAGAGAGTAAATTTCTGGAAACTATCAGGCTGAGCTACAAAGCTCAGGGGATTTAAATACATAAATTCAACAGACAGAGGGTCTGTATTTCTTACCAGTGGCAGTCTGATTCCTCACTGAAGCCACCATAATTCATGGGTCTCTGAGATCATGTCAGAATGGCAGCACAAGAGGCTGGGAAAATCAAATCATGCAGACCAAGTAAAAGGAGAATCAAGAATGATTGAAATTATTTCTGTGTTATTAAAGAAATAATGTATATTCCATTCATGCACAAAGATCCACACTTTCAAATAATACAAGTCAGCAGAGGTTCACTGAGCCTATTGAAGGCTTGGGTATGCCTCATGCAAGGCAATATGAGAGGAGGGTATTTCTAATGAAGTCCAATTTATAAGTAGAAAGGCAATCAGAATTTTTTTTTTTCTTTAAGATTCTTTT